GCTGGTTTTTGAAGACAATCTAATAATCACACAAACATACACTGCAGGACTCCCATGCAAAGACGCTTGGAGACAGATTCAAACAGACATAGGCTACCTCATCAAAGTCACATGAGAAAGCTGTGCAGGGTCAGGATGCGGGGGCGCTAATAACTTGCAGATATTCTCATGTGGTGCCTGCTAGAGGATGAGCTGGGAAAAAGATGAGTGTTTCATATTAGACACCTGATATACTGTCTTTGGGCTGTGTGTCTGAAATGTGTGTTTAATGCACTTGCTGCTTGAGAGGACTGTCTCCTGCAAGCTCAGCGGTGCAGGAGTAATGTGCATGTTAAGGCTGCAGGAGCCTGGGAAGCAGCTCTGTCCATCAGCCAGAACTACAATGTAGAACTTTCCACACACACTAAACTTTGACCCAAAGTTAAACAGACCACAAATTCACTGGCTCAATATCGCCCACATGGTTCTGGGCTTCTAGTATTGGGTGTGTGAAAGTCTGATCTGAAGTTTGATCCAATTACATCATACAGCGTTTATGGCATCTGATGTTCAAACAACTCTATCAGACATTCAAACAGATATATATTTGTGATGTTTAGTGCTGCGCTGACCTTCAGACCCTCACATAGGACGAAATCCAAACATGCTGGATCCTACATTTCCCATAAATCATTTAATCTGTTCCTAGATTTGCTGGCTTTCGGATGACATCATCAGGGTTATTGTCTTAGACAAAAATCAGATAATGAAGAATTTTTTGCAGACACATAACATACAAACATTTTCCCCCTTCAGTATCCCTAGTAGAGTATCCCTTCAATTTGTGTGGCCTTGTTAAAATATGAATGTCCTTGAAAGAGAAGCTCTTTTTAAACCTGAGTAGCTATTAATTAATTATTCATTTATAATTGGAAAAAATGCTTAATTGTGTGCTTGCCTCTACAGAAATTTTAAATTTTTGCATGTTCAGCTGGCCTGTTTTGCACCAAAAGTAACTCTCAAGGTTATGTTAGCATTTAATTTGAATTTATGTATATATTTGTCTATTTTTATAATCTAAACTGAAGAGGAGAAAGTGTTGACACTAAATAGATTTTAAAAATACAGAAGTAAAGGAGGAGATTATCAAGAAAATTTGGAATAAGCTTTGAATTTTGAGGAGAACGGATCAAACCTATTGATGATAATAATTACTGGTTTGGAGCAGATTGTTGGCACCTCGGCTCAAATGAAGCAGTGATTTAGCTTGTACGATATTAGTAGCTTAGGCAACACACCCCTCCACGGGACAAAATATTTATCCAGCGTTAATCCAAAACCTGTGTGTAGGTGTGCAACCCACTGAACTCAGTGCCCTCTGTGGATTCTTGGTATTGTTGTCGTCTGTGCTTTTGTATACCACAGACACTATTATTTAGTCACTTTTAGTCACTCCCTCTCAGTATTCACTTCATTCTGCTCTCCCAGGCTACTGAATTTAAGAAAGAACCGCTGTGTGTGTGTGTGTGTGTGTATGTGTGTGTATGTGTATGTGTAT